GTGGAATCTTCTTTATTCTGGAAATGTGGACCCAAGCTTTGATGCCTTCAACTTTAGCCACCGTGGATGTGCTGAGAAGAACCTGCTGAGGGTTGGACCACTTGGCACTGGTTGTACTCAGGAAGAGTTCCTTTACTTGAACCCACTCTCCAGGTTGGACACACGGTGGTGCTGTTGTTACTGGTGGCAAGGCGTCTTGCACCTGTTGAGAAATACAAAACAGAACCTCGGCCAGTTTCTGCAAATATTGTGTGATATTTGTCTCTCCTTTATCCCTTGGTATTGACTGGGATGAGAAAGATCTACCATATAGCATTTCAAAGGGTGACAATCTCCTTTGTCCTCAAGGTAATGCCCTGATTCTGGTTAAAGCAATGGGCAAAACCTGTGGCCAAGGCAAATAAGTCTCCTGACATAACTTGGCTAAATGGATCTTTAATGTTCAATTAAAACATTATATGAGCGCCGAAGCTTGGGCTCTGTAGCAATAGTGGATTCCATTTACCTTCACTACCCATTTGAAACTGTGAGGGTGCACTTGCTTCACTTACCCATGGCGCTTCTGCACATGTGCAGAGCATCCGTGATGATGTCCGAGCAGGTGGGCAGATCCTCTCGCCGCCACCACTACCGGTTCACCCGAACCAGGGCGAACCAGTAGAAACTCACCACTGCTCTGTAGGCTGAATGAAGGTTCCAATTAATCCCTAAGTATTTACTCACTCCCTGAACTACTTGGGATGTAAAATGTACTCCAAATTTAGGGATAATTATTTTTATCATGATCTTGACAACATCTTTAGCTGTTTGGGTGGCTGTGGGGCTCCTCCTGTGGGATTATTCTTCTGACATATCTCACACTGATCCATTACTACCTTACACAACCTTCTCACATTCTCAATCCTGTATCTCCTTTCTAATCATATCTTCATTACTCTTGGACCTGCATGAGTGGCCTGGTGGATACGTCTCACTATTGGCCAAGTTTTGATCTTGTATTGCCTAGGCAGTTGTACTTTATTATCCATCAGTCATCTTTCCACTGACCATCTGCTTTTAACTTGTCTCTACCATTGTACAAGGGAGGAAGGTAATCAATGGGTTCGTCTGGAATTAATGCAACTGCACAAGTTGTTGTCTTTGGGCCCATGGCAGCCTGTTTAGCCCAATAGTCCATTGCCTTATTGCCCCTAGAGACTGGACCGGAGTCAGTTTGATGTCCACAGCAATGGACGATTGCAATGGCTTTAGATAGATGGATAGCTTCCATCAAATCTTCCAGAAAGGGTTTCATCTTTAAAGCTGTTCCATTAGCTCCTGCATAGCCTCAAGCTTTCCATAAGGTGGCATGGATCTGTGCAGCTAAAAAGGCATATCGGCTATCAGTATAAATAGTCACTCGTTGGCCTTCAGCTAAATAGCATGCTTCTATGAGAGCCATTAGTTCAGCTGCTTGTGTAGACATGTGTGAAGGGAGCTGTCTCTGAAGCAATGATCCATCTTCTGTCACTACTGTTAATCCTGTATATCTTTTTCCATCTTTCATAAAGGACGAACCATCTGTCCAGAGTACCAGATATCCATCCATCAATGGCTCAGACTTTAGATCACATCTGGAACCTGTGATGCATTCTAACATATCTAATCAATCATGGGGTGTGTCTTCTTCGGGCCATGATAAAAGGGTAGCAGGGTTTAAAAATTGGCATCTGAATAATTGAACATTTTCTTGCTCCACTATAGTACTCACATATTGGGAAATCTTACTGGATGTTGCCCAAGTGGGAAGATTTTGTTCTAATAGAATCTGAACTGCATGGGATGTGGAACAGTGGTGAAATCTAAAATTTGTAACTACCGGTTCTGTGGGCATGGCTTGGTGGGGGGTGGGTAATGTGACTGGGTGGGTGTGGCCAATTTTTTTTTACAACCTCTTTGGCGAAGAGGTTGTAAAAAAATGCTTTCAAAAGGCTCTGACAATCCCAGCTGAGTTGCCTGATCGGCAGAGGCTTTTTGAAAAAGCCTCTGCCGATCAGGCAACTCAGCTTGGATCGTCAGAGGCATTTAAAAGAAAAAAAGGGGTTTTTTCCTTTAAAAGCCTTTGACAATCCCAGCTGAGCCATGCAATCATCAGAGGCTTTTTTTTTTTACTTTTAAAAGCATTTTTTCCGCCAGAGGTTGTAGAAAAAATGCTTTTAAAAGTAAAAAAAAAGCTTCTGATGATTGTGCGGCTCAGCTGGGCATGGTGGGGGGGGCAGGGATTTTTGCTACTGGTTCTCCGAACCACCCACCTCCATTGCTATCGGTTCGGGCGATCCAGTCCGAACCGGGAGCATTTCACCCCTGGTGTGAAAACATGGAGAGGGGCTCCAAGAATGATTTTCTGCGATTCTGCAATCAGGACAGCTATAGCTGCAACTGCTTTTAAGCACGCAGGCCATCTTTTAACAACATTATCGAGGCCTTTTGACAAGTAGGTGACTGGGACGCGTTCTGGACCCACCTTTTGTAGCAAGACTCCTACAGCACAGCCTTTTTGTTCTCAGAAAGTACAAATCAAATCCTGGGACTGATTTGGTAGAGCCAAACAAGCTGCTCTCACTAGACTTTCCCTTAAGGTCTTCCAGGCTTGGTATGTTCCTCTGTCCATTCCCAAGCGATATCCTTTTGGGTCAGTTGGTACAACTGGTTTGGCTATTACAGAATAGAGGGGTATCCAAAGTCTGGCATATCCTGTAATACCCAAGAAGGACCTAAGTTGTTTCACATTGGTTGGCACTGGCAGGGTCATTAGTGCTTGGAGTCTACTTTCATGTAAGCATCGAGTTCCTTTGTCCAGCACATAACCTAAATAGTTTACAGTTTGCTTAGTCCATTGGATTTTCTCTTGGGACATTGTGTATCCCTTTTTAGCCAGATGATTTAGTAACTCAATTGCTTTTTCTTCCAACTGTTGTTCATTTTTGGCTGCCAATAACAAATCCTGTACATATTGTAAAAGCATGGTGGGTGGAGCATCAAAGTCTTTTAAATGCAGAAAGGGCAGCAGCAAAGACTGTAGGGCTGTTTTTGTATCCCCGGGGTAATCTAGTCCGTGTCAGCTGGCAGCAACATCTATCATCTGGATCAGACCATTCGAAAGCAAAGTAATCTTGGCACTCTATGATCAAGGGGATACAGAAAAAGGGGTCTTTTAGGTCTATTACAGTGTACCACACTTGGCAGTGTGAAAGGGTGGTCAAAAGGGTGTAGGGATTGGCCACTGCAGGGTGTAAAGCCTGAATCCTGTAATTTGCCTCTCTTAAAACTTGGACTGCCATCCAAGTCCCATCTGGTTTTGGGACTGGAAAAATTGGGGTAGATCATGGAGACTGAATCTCTCTAAGAACGGTAAAATTCAAAAAGGTTTGAATATGTTCTTTTATGCCAGTGCGAGCCTCCCTTTTTATTAGAGGCTTATTATTGAATACTATTAAAATGGGGGCTGCATCATGTTTCAGTTTTGCCAAATAGGGAACAGCAAATTTAGCATATCCAGGTGTTCCCTGGTACCACATAGAAGGATTAATGTGAGAGTCTGAAGGTGACTTAAAGTTCTGCAAACTCAGAAAACACAAATATGCTTGGTCAATGGGGAAAATTAGCTGTACTCCCTCAGGAGAGCACTTAAGAGTAGCTCCAAGTTTTCCTAATAGATCCCTTTCTAACAAGTTAATAGGGCATTGAGGCAGAATGAGAAATGAATGGGTTACACTAGGACCCTGGATTCCTTTGACTTCCAAGCATCCACTCTGTTTGGTAGTTTACATTCTCCCTGTAACACCTACTATGGGGGTACTTTGAGTGGCTAGGCATGATACAGTAGGGTCATTGAAAATACTATAGGTTGCCCCGGTGTTGACAAGAAAAGATTAAAATTTCCCTCCCACTTTTAGCTCCACTAGAGGTTCAGGAGTAGAAATTAATCCACTGGAGCTCCATCAGTATAGTTCTTCTTGTCTTGCCGTCATCTGCCTCTGGGGAGGGCTTGGGGATGGCTGGGATGGAGGCCATTGCTGTTGGAATTGTCTATTGGGCTGAGGATTTTGGTGATTTAGTGGACACTCATTCTTCCAATGTCCCATCTGCCTGCATCAGGCACATTGGTTTTTCTTCCATCTCCCAAAATATTGGCTTGGAGGTCCTCTCTCAGGTTGGGACTGTAATGTCACTGCTAGAAGGGTGGCCTGCTCTTCATCTTTTTATCTTCCTTTTCTTCCTCTTTTTCCTCTCGTTGAGAGTAGACTGTAAAAGCTATCTGACTTAGGAGTTCCAAATTTTGGATAGTTGGGGCATCTAATCTTTGGCGTTTCTTCCTGATATCAGGGGTGCTTTGTCCCACAAAAGTCATTTTCAGAATTACTTCATTCTGTGGGGCATCTGGTTCTGTGAAGCTCTGAAAGCCATCTTTCAAACGGATTAAAAAGTCATTTGGGCTTTTTTTCTTTTTGGCTCTTGCATGATGCAATGAAAATTTACAGTTTTTGGTACTTTCTCGAGACCCTGAATAATGGCTTCCTGAGGAAGCTCCCTCAGAACTTCCATGCCTATAGGGTCATTGGCATTAATTTCAAAGGTTGGAGACAATAAATCTGCAACCTGAGGCCAGAGCCCTTACGGAGGATTGTTAATGGTTGCTCTTTTGGCTTTATAATATTAAATTTTTCGTACTTTTGACCAGTCCTCACACTTACAACCATCCTCACATTTATGCCCATTGCAGCATTCTTAACAACCGTGTCACTCATTTCACAACTGCGATGCTACTCTTCACCCCGGTGACAATATAGGGCACAAAACGTAAAATGTGAGAACAGTCGTAAGTGTGAGGACCAATTAAAAGTGTGAGGACTGGTCAAAAATCATTTTTTCAGCCCTCTGAGTAGTCCCTATGCACACAGGGACTACCCAGAGGGCTGAAAAAAGTGATTTCTGACCAGTCCTCACACTTTTGGCTGGTCCTCATACTTATGACCAGTTGTCATGCCTGTTGCAGCATTCTTAACAACCGTATCACTCACTTCACAACTACAGTGCTTCATGTGACCAGGTGGGCATGTCCAACTCGACTTTGCTTCTTTGCCCTAATGACAGTTTGCTGCAATGGTCGTAAGTGTGATAAATGGTCACAAGTCACTTTTTTCAGTGCCATTGTAACTTTGAATGGTCACTAAATGAACTGTTGTAAGTCAAGGATTACCTGTACAAAAATACAAAAAGCTTCTTTGCTTGCAAAGGATTCTGTATTATCCTTTGATACTTGTAAACAAGAATTAATGCACCAGTTTGAAAAACAAGTAAAAAGAAATGTGTTATAAATATTTCAATGACTAGCAATCAGAAAGTTTGCTAGTATTTTTCAGCACCTAAGGCTAAAATCTTATTGGCATATATACAAAAAAATAGGATCATTGAGCTTATTAGAATTAGGTAGCCATGCATAGGAGTAAGGAGATTGAAGCATAATAGTCATTCATCTATTCTGACAAAAGATTGGACATAGAGAAGGTCCAGAAGAAGGAATTGCATCTTTGTCTTCTCCAGGACAATCCCAAGTGGAATGAAAAGTTTATTCTGTGACCATTTACATAACATATTACTATATTTCATTTATACTCTATACATTCTAACTAAATTCAATCCTACTTTATCTAAAAAATATTTCTATTCTCAATCCATTTATACCACTTCTCCCATATTATATAATATTCCAAATCCATTAATCCTTTCAGCTCAAGTGTCATCTTGTCCATTTCAGTGCAGTCCAAGACTTTTTTAATTATTAAGTCTTCTGAGGGTATATTTGTGTTTCTCCAGCACTGTGCAAAGGCTAGTCTTGCCGCCGTTATTATATGTAGAATAATGTACATTGTTTTTTTGTTGTATTTCTTTTTCGTTATCCCCTAGAAGAAACAGTTCCGGAGTGTATTCTATTTGGACACCAGTTAATTCCTGTAACCAATTTTGTATTTTTTTTTCCAATATTTTTTCGATTCTGGGTATAACCACCATCATGAAAGAAGGTACCCTGCTTTTGTCCACATTTCCAACAATTTTGGGTTAAATTTGGATATATCTTTGCCAATCTTGAAGATGCCAAATACTAGCGATAAAGCATTTTGTATTGATTTTCTTTATATTTTGCTGATTTTGTTATTTTATCATTTCTGTTCCAAATCGTTTCCCAATCCTCTAATTCGATGTTATGGCCTACATTTTTTGCCCAAGCTATCATCGCTCCCTTCACTATGTCCTTGGCTCTGTCAAATTCTAATAAATAATTATAAAATTTAGTTATCAATTTTTCATCCGGGCCAATCAATAATTTGTCTAATTTTTGTGGGACCAATTCAATTCCATATTCTTCTTTATCTTTTAAGTATCGTGACTTTAATTGCAAATAAGGCCACCAATCTATATTTATTCCCTGTTTTTCTAAATCTTGTCTACTTTTTAAATTTCCTTGACAATCTAAAATTTCTTTGTATTTGGCCATTTTATTTATATCCATAGTGTTGGGATGTATCATCGCCTCCATTGTTGACACCCATCCAGGCATTTTCATATAATGTTTTTTCTTGATTTCTTGCTTCTTGTACCTTAAGATGAAAAAAAATATGAATGTGTTTTATTTTCATTATCCCATAGGAAGGCATGCCATCCTTTTTGTAAATCGTGTCCTTCCAATGTGAGTAATCTTTTATTTCTCAAATTAATCCACTCCTTAACCCAGGCCAAGATTGCTGCTTTATTAGAGTCGCCAATCTGGAAGCCCAAGGCCACCTCTGCTTCTGCTATCCTGGAGTTAGTTAGTTTTATTCTCACTTTTTTGCCTGTCCATATAAATTTTGTTGTACTTTGGATCAAATCTGTGAAAAATTTCTTATTTAGTTTTATGGGTATGGTTTGAAAGAGGTAAAGCAATTTTGGGAGAATATTCATTTTAATAGTAGCAATTCGGCCTGATATAGATAATTGTAATGTACCCCATCTTTCCAAGTCCAATTTTATTGGTTGCACTAATTTTACATAATTGTCTTCTTTAATTGAGGAACACCTCGCTGTCAATCATATTCCTAAATATTTAATTTTTTTCGTGCTCTGTAGTCCCAATTCTTTCTCTAATTCATGTTCTTGTTTTGACTATCATTTTTGTTTTTGTTTTGTTAATTTTAACAAAACCTTAACCCTGACACTTCTCCAAATTTTTCTATCTCCCATATTAAAATATGTCCTGCCTCTTTTGGGTCTTCAATAAAAAACACCAAGTCATCTGCAAACACTTTTAGTTTATATTCTTCCTTTCTAATTTTAGTTCCCTAAATTTCTGAGTTTGCCCTAATTTTCTTCAATAAATATTTTGACTCTAAAGTCAAAATAAAAAGCAGAGGAGTTCATCCTTGGTGAACTCCTTTTTTTATTTCGAATGGTCTTGTAATTTCCCCATTTATTATTATATTTGCTTTTTGAGAAGAATAAATTGTTTCAATTACCTGTTCAAATTTTTCTCCAAATTTCATTTCTTTAATTTGTTTTATCATATACTTCCAATTTAAATTGTCGAAAGCTTTCTGTGCATCCAGAAAGACAAGAGCCACTTGTCTCTCTGGATGGGCCTCGTAATACTCTAGTATGTTCATAACTGTTCTTGTATTGTCTTGGATTTGTCTCAGTAGGAGAAAGCCATTTTGATCAGAATGGATAATTTCATTTAATATTTTTTATCATCCTTCCTGCTATGATGGTCATAAATATCTTGTAATCTACGTTCAAAAGAGTAATTGGTCTATAATTTTGAATTTGATTTGCATCAGTACTTTCCTTCTTTTTTTTTTTATTGAAAAGTTTTACAAAAAGTTTACATATTTCCCCCCCCTTCCCTACCTCAACCTCCCCCCTCCCCCCCTCCTCTTCCCAGAACAAATTACAGGGTATAACCTTCAACAATCATAATCAATCCTAGTCTAAATAATTATGACATTCCACATCTCTTGTTCCTTCAATTCCCTAATTACCCGCCTAGCTTTATTACTTAAAGACACACCAAATATCTATATAATCATTCATAACCTATCTGCAATTTCTTATTCCGGTATTTATTTTGAATATAATCTATCCATCTTCTCCAGTCTCTTAAATATCTTTCATTTGAATGATCCTTCAAGTACGCCGAGATTTTTGCCATTTCCGCTAGGTTTGTAACTTTCATTGTCCACTCTTGGATTGTAGGTAAATCTTGCTTCTTCCAATATTGTGCCACCAACAATCTTGCTGCAGTTATTAAGTTCAAAATCAATTTAGTCTCTATAACTGTACAATCCGTAACTATACCCAGCAGAAACAGCTGTGGTATTGTGAGAAATAAAGAAATTAGGGTTATTCCTGTAAAACAATATAGCCTAAGTTACGCCATTTTAAAATCATGTTAAGGCCTTATTTTACTCTGTATAACCTGAGTATATAATTTAGCTGACAGTTTAAGGAGCATGAGAACAGGATGCGTGGTTCCTGTGTTTTTAGAGGAAGTTGTGTTCTTGAGATGTCCAGGTCGGCTTGACCTCGTTAAGAAAGGGAAGTGCGTATATGCTGATATTACTTGTTATGCTGATATTACATGTGTAAGCAATATTTTTAAGTAGGGTATTTTTATATACTGGAATTATGGGGACTTTCCATAATGGGAATATCATGTGTTCATCTATTATATAAAGTCTGAAATTGTACTCAAGGGACATGCTTGTATCCTGTAAGATGTAACCTGAAAATTGTATAAAAGACGGCGAGAAAGGATGGTAATTTGCTCCCTCACTTTGAGGGGGACCTTTGCAAAGAAATAATTAATTAATAAACTGTATTCTTGTCTTATCTCTCAACTCTCTGTCAATTATTTTCTGGGTAACAGGCATTTCCTGCGTATCACAATTGGCGCCCGAACAGGGACTTGAGGACCTTTCATCGGGTAAGCAAATAAATCTAAAAAAGCGCGCTAAACACTGTTTTGGTGTTAAGGTTTGTTTTCTTGCCGGACGGGAGTAGCTTCTCTAATCAACCCTGGGACGGAGACTTGGAGATCAGGACAGGAGACAGGAGGAACGTTCCGGGGGACTGCACTGGGAGTGAGTATACTTTTTCTCTCTGGGGTTTTTATTAGGTGTGCTTAGTGTGTGTGTGGGTGTGACAGTATGGGGCTTTCTTTGAGTAAACATAGTGAAAATAGTAACAATGAAATACCCTCTATTCCTCCAATATCACCTTTAGGGGAGTTGTTAACTCAGTGGACAGAGGATTGGTTGAAGGTTTATACTAAACAGTTGGATAAGGTGGCTATGATTAATTACTGTACAAGAGTGTGGCCGAAATTTATCTTGATAAAGCCTAATTACAGGTGGAGTAAGTTTGGGGAGTCTGACCCGTATTGGATCAATGCCTTGAAGAAGGTATTGGAAGGCAAGGAACTAATTTCTCAGTTGCCATATGTTGAACTGTGGTTTCATGTTCAATGGTTTGATCCCTTTCCACCCAGGGATTCTAGAGTGTTGTATGGGGAAGAGGAGGAAGAGAAAAGGTGGGATCCTTTGGCTTATGCTACATGCCCACCTTTACCTCCTCCATATAACCCGAATGCTGCTGGGGCAGTGGGTGGCTTAGCTGAGGCAGCTGCTGCTGGGAGCAGTGGGGGAGTACCTTCAACAGCTCGGCGATATCAAGAGATAAAGAGGGAGTCGGAGGAATTGCCAACACCGGTAAGACCTCCTTCCCCTCGTAGGACACGTCTACAAACTAAGAAAATGTTGCCTTTGAGGGAGATGCCAAATGGTTTAACTGGTGCAGGCCTCCCAGTGACAACGTTTGTAAATGTGCCTTTAACATCTTCAGATTTGAGAAATTACAAGAGTAATATGCCGTCTCTACAAGCGGATCCAATTAAGTTGTCAGAATCATTGGATCTGTTCTTGGGGCCCAATTTGTATACGTATGCTGAGTTACAGCATATATTGGGTTACCTGTTCTCCCCTGAGGAGAGGTCACAAATACGGAAGGCGGCTATGGCCTATTGGGATAAGACCCAGGTCGGGGCCGCTCAACCCGTGGCTGCAGAGACAAAGTTTCCATTAGCAGACCCTGGTTGGAATAATAACGATGCAGCCGACCGGGGGCAAATGGAGGACCTGAAGAGGATTATACTTCAGGGAGTTAAGACAGCTGTACCTCAAGGAAAGAATTTGACTAAAGCTTTTGAGGTGGAACAGCTGCGAGATGAAACACCCTCAGTGTTTCTGGAACGTATTAAGGACAATTTAAATAAGTATTCTGGTCTTTCTCCTGAAACGCCAGCTTATGAGTCCTTAATAAAAATGCAGTTTGTGACAAAGGCATGGCCAGACATCAAGAAGAAAATACAGAAAATTGATGACTGGGCTGGGTCTGATATTACCGCCCTGTTGAAGGAGGCTCAAAAAGTGTATGTGAATAGAGATGAAACAAAGACTAGGCAAAAGAGTCAGATGATGGTGTCAGTAATGAAGGCTGCAAATAAGCCAGCAGATAGGAAGGAAGTGATGGGGAGAGGAAGAAATTTTGGAAAGAATCCGTCCACTGTATTGAAACAGCGTCCAGGGATAGGAAGAGGATTTCCACAGTTGAGGAGGCCTGGAATTAGTGGCCAGGAAAGTAGGAAATGTTTTGCGTGTGGCAAGGAGGGGCATTTTGCTAGAAATTGTCCAGAGAAGAGGAGGTCCCAGAGGATGGAACCACGCCTCTATACCCTTATGGGAGAAGAGGATGATTAGTGGGGTCAGGGGCTTTTGATAGAGGGATCCCACCAAGAGCCCTTGATAAAATTGTTAGTGGGACCAGAAGAAGAGGAATATGTGTTTTTGATAGACACGGGAGCAACTAGAACTTCTATTTGTAAAATACCTAATGGAGTGCATCAAACAGGTGCAACCATTAAGATAAGGGGTGTTCAAGGAATACCTTTTGAAGTGCCATTGTTGAATAATATGACTTTGGGTTGTGGAAAGCAAAAGATCTATTTAGATGTTATATTTGTACCAGAAGCTGGCATTAATTTGCTTGGAAGAGATGCATTATCACTTCTTGGTTGTGAGTTAAAATTCTCTTGTAATGATTCTATAGTTAATGTGTTGACGGAAGAACAGGAGAGGAATATTGACCCTATTGTGTGGGAACAGGAAGGTAATAGGGGAGTTTTAGATATTCCCCCATTGAAAGTGACCTTGAAGGAAGGGACAGTTCCTGTGAAGGTGAAGCAGTATAATATTCCTATAGATTTGAGGAGAGAGTTAAAGCCAGTGATTGAGAAGTTGTTAGCAGATGGATTGATTGAACCTACTATGTCCCAATATAATTCACCTATATTACCTGTTAGGAAGCCTGATGGATCTATCAGGATAGTTTTGGATCTTCGCCAAATAAATTTATTGGTTGCCAATAGACATTCGATAGTAGGAAATCCTTATACGTTGTTGGGGAGAATACCACATAGCCATAAATATTTTAGTGTGATAGATTTGAAGGATGCGTTTTGGACATGTCCTTTAGATGAGGAATCAAGAGATATTTTTGCTTTTGAATG